TTTCTTTCTTTCTTTCTTTCTTTCTTTCTTTCTTTCTTTCTTTCTTTTCTTTCTTTCTCCTTCCTTCTTTCCTTCCTTCCTTCCTTCCTTCCTTCCTTCCTTCCTTCCTTCCTTCTTTCTTTCTTTCTTTCTTTCTTTCTTTCTTTCTTTCTTTCTTTCTTTCTTTCTTTCTTTCTTTCTTTCTTTCTTTCTTTCTTTTTCTTTCTTTCCTCCAGGCCTTGAGGAAATCAGAAGGTCTGAACAAACAGCTGGCTGACCTAGAAACCAAAGTGAAGATCCAAACGACACCGAACAAAGACGTCCAACGTGAGATTGTGGATGTTGGCGAGGTAAGGAAAGAGAAAAGAAAAGGACTTTGTAGTTCCTCTCTCCTAGGATCCCCTAGTAAGGCTGGTCATCTCCAAGCTAGCTAAAGAGTTGCAGTTTACACTTTGCGTACCTAAGTAACCTGCGGGTCTGTGCATAGCAAATGCAAATTCAGTAACTGTCATATTTGGAGTCCTGGTGGTACAGCGGTTAGAATGAAGTATTGCAGGCTGACTTTACCCACTGCCAGGAGTTCAGTCCTGTCCAGCTCAAGGTTGACTCAGCCTTCCGTCCTTCCAAGGTCGGTAAAAAGAGGACCCAGATTGTTGGGGGCAAGAGGCTGACTCTGTAAACTGCTCAGAAAGTGCTGTGACACACTATGAAGCAAAATAGAATAGGAACAGGAAATAGAATAGAATAGAATAGAATAGAATTCAATTCAATTCAATTCTTTGTTGGCCAAGTGTGATTAGATACAAAAGGAATTTGTCTTGGTGCAAATGCTGTCAGTGTACATAAAAAGAAAAGATACATTCATCAAGAATCAGAAGGTACAATACTTAATATAGTCATAGGTACAAATAGGCAATCAAATCATACTAAGAAACAGTCAATAAAAATAGTTAGGATACAAGCAACAAGGTTATAATCATACAGTCATAAGTTGGAGGAGATGGGTGAAAGGAAGGATGGGAGGATTAATAATAATAGCAATGCAGACTTTGTAAATAGTTGGACTGTGTTGAGGGAATTATTTGTTTAGCAGAGTGATGGCGTTCAGGGAAAAACTGTCCTTGTGTCTAGTTGTTCTGGTGTGCAGGGCTCTATAGCGTCGTTTTGAGGGTAGGAGTTGAAACAATTTATCTCCAGGATGTGAAGGGTCTGTAGATATTTTCACATATGAGCCTAAGTGCTATTGCTATATGCTGGGGTGCTCTGTGTTTGGCTAATAGCAGAGGGATTACTTTCTTGAACGCTCCAGTCCCAAATGAAAGAACTTTGATTTTACTGATGGGAGCCCACCGCATCTGAAGTTGCACCATCAAGATGTTACTCCTTTCGCAGGCCCTGGCTGCAGCCATCATTCCCCAGTGGCAAAAGGATGAACTCAGAGAGGCCCTCAAAGCACTGAAGAAGATTATGGATGATTTGGATCGGGCCAGCAAAGCCGACATCCAGAAACGAGTGAGCTCATCTCCTGATTATTTTTCCCCACGCTGTTACTCGTGAAGAGCTTAGAAATTGTTCTAAAGTAGTCCTTGACTTATGACTAGCCACCATTCAGAGTTAATGGCGGATCTCCCTGGAGGTACTTAACCTGGTTGTGAAGTTCCAACTCTACCCTCATGTGAAAGCACTTTAGCTGCTTGGCATTCCAGACTAAGTTTATGGCCCTTTGCAGTGTCCCACAGTCATGGACCGTCTTTCGCAAGGTTTTTGGTGAAAATTGGCCTTTCTGGTTTTGCAGAAAAACCAGCCCAGTTAATAACCCTGGAGGTTGCTTTATTACTGCAGTTTTCGCTTAATGACCACTGCACAAAAAATCCTAAGCTCGGGTTAGTCATGCTGGTGACCTGTTTTATGACCATCACAAATGATGACCCTGATTTGATTAGTTATGTTTGATTGCGAATTAATAAAACCCTGGAGGAATGAAACTAAAGGGAGAGAAATTTGGAAAAGAGATGGATAAATGACAATTAAGGAGGGGTTTTTTTATGTCTTGTTTTATGTTATGTATTTTGTGTGCTTATGACTGATTGAGAATTACTAAAACTTTGATAGAAAGAAATATAATTGAACAAAAGTGAAGGGAGATTTGGAAAAGATATATATGTGTAAATGGAAATGTGATAATGTGGAACTATGTTTTAAAAAATAATGCTTTATTTGCCGTGTTAAAATTTATAAGTAATTCTTAGAAAGGAGGTTTTATACTTTTATGTTTTATGTTTTGTTTGTCTTCAAAAATCAATAAAACTTGTTCTTAAAAAACAAACAAATGATGACCCTGATGGGCAGGCCATAAGCTGAGGACTCTCTGTATTTTCCTTTTGAAATCTGGGCAGATGATGAATTGCAAAGAACTGCTGCTGCTACTGCTTGTATCATAAAGAGGAGCATGTAGCTGAAACCTTTTATCATGTGGTGTCGTCTTCTCTCTGATTCTGGACCTTTAACTTGGTCGTCTTTAGAAACAAAATCCTAAAAGAACAATTCCCAATCTGGGAGGTTTTGAGTGTGCATAGACTAAAACTTCCAGAATTCCTAACTGTTGCCACACTAGATAGAAATTCTGGGGATGTGCAACTCTTAAAACATCTGGGAGAACCTCACATTGGCAAAGGCTTGTCCTAACTCGTCCCACCTTCTGTCTTGAATCTTAATTTTAGCAAGCCAGACTTGGCTGAGAAGTTGGCACATTTATTTGTTTTCTCGTGCATGTGCCTTTGCACCTGGCACACTACATAGACCCCAGCTAAGTACAACATGTAGAGTAAGGATTCTCTATGTCTCTGCAAGGAGCATCAATGTTCCATCTCGCACGTTTGTCTCATGCTTCTCTTTCTTCTCCAAGGTGCTGGACAAGATGAAGCAACTCATTGAGGCTTATCCCAACCAGCCTCTGGTCATTCTGGAAATGGAGAATGGGGCTTCTGCAAAGGTACTTACCTTTTTCCAGCGCAGCCATCCTTTATGAGGCCGTGATGGCGCAGTGATTAGAACGCAACATTGCAAGCTAATTCTGCCGGCTACCAGCAGTTCGATCCTGACCCAAGGTTGACTCAGCCTTCCATTCTTCCGAGGACGGTAAAATGGGGACCCAGATTGTTGCAGGCAAGAGGCTGGCTCTATAAACCACTTATAGAGGACTGTGAAGCACTGTGAAGCTGTATATAAGTCTCATGCTATTGGGAAATGGGCAGAGGTGCACAGAGAGATAATGGCTGATGGGGTCGCAGAGATTGATTTAGCTGCTGAACAACAACAAAGGACAGAGAGAAGGTTGCGCACGCACACACACACACACACCCCTTGGCATGAAATGATCTGCCTGACCCAGATTGCCAAATGATGGGGGGGGGGGCGTTATTTCAGTTTTTCAGTTCTTTCCTGGTCTAGCTTCAAAATGGCAGTTCACGCCATGCTCTTCCTCTTACAGGCCTTGAATGAATCCCTGAAGCTCTTGAAGACGCATTCTCCTGAGACAGCTGCGATGCTTTTCAGCGTGGATAATGAAGCAGGCAAAATTACCTGCTTATGCCAAGTTCCTCCGGTGAGTAAGATTGGGAGCACCTCTGAATCCGGGTAGAATATGGATAATTCAAGAAGCAGAATTTCCCCCCCTCCCTTTTTTAAAAAAAGATATAGATCCAGAGCAATGATGAAAAGCCTGTAAGAATTCCCCAGATGTGACTTGAATCTTAACTCCCAATAGGCTCAGCCTATCTGGCCATTGATGAAGGTTGCTGGGGATTGCCATCCGACTTTTGTTCATCATGGTTTGTTTAGTTGCAGATTTGCAAGTGTTTTGTCTTTCAGGAAGTTGTGGTGTTCTTGGTGCTCTCTGGGCTTGGTGGTTTCTGTTCTGACCTAGGCTTTCCCCAAAAGCACTAAGCAGACTCTTTGTCCCGGCAAAACCCCTTTTATTAAATGAAGGCGACTTTCGTGTATTCACCGTCAGCCAAAGGCCTGGCAAACAGTCTTTCAAGGGTGTAATTAGGAGCACAGGCCTTCTCTAGCTTGGAAAGCTGCTCGGTAAATATTTCCAAACGCAGTGCTGACAAGGAAGGACTTGGCACAAAGTCTCTGAGATGCACAGGCAGATCTTCACACTGCAACGAACTGTTTCCTGCAAAAGCCCCCTCCCCTTTTGCTCCTCTTTTAATCCCTAGGGGAGGGGCCATTCAGCGTCCACCTGTGGCCTTACTCCCATGTTGACTCTTAGTTCGTAATTTTCTTTTCTTCTGGCAGCTCTGCGCTTGCGCAGGCTGGGAACCGGCTCCAGCTGCTCCCCCGCCTCACTGCTGTCCGACTTCTGAAGGCGGCTGATGACTGCCAGACTGCCCTGGCCCCATCTCTGCCTCTGACGCAGAGCCCTCGCCCGAGCCTTCCCCAGACTCCAGGTCTGGCCCATGTTCCTCCCCAACCTCCTCACTGTCCGACTCTGCTGCCGCCTCCGCTAGCCGCCGGAAGGCCGCAGCACTTTCCTTGCAGGCGTTTTCATTCCCACACTAGATAACAAATTTGATCACGAAACGTCTGCAAGAGAACATCCAAGCTCAGGGGAGCACCAAGAGACCTCACAGTTCAACCCAGAGCTACAAACACTCCCTTCTCTCGGTTTCAGGAGATTGCCGGCAAAGGGCTGAAGGCCAGCGAGTGGGTGCAGCAGGTCTCCGTGCTGATGGACGGCAAGGGGGGAGGGAAAGACCTCTCGGCCCAGGCGACGGGCAAAAACACCGATTGCCTCGAGGAAGCCCTGCAGGTGGCCACCGAATTTGCCAAGCTGAAGCTCAGCGAGTTGAAGAACTGAAGCCCACCTGGGGATCAAACTTGGGAAGGATGTTCCTGGCCTTGCAGGCCAATAGCTTAGATGTTTTCTTTTAGCCCCCATCGGCGGAGGACTGGACCCTACGTAGTTGTCCTATATTCCTCCGGCATGAACTCAAGAGAGAGGGTTGGAAAAGTCGATTATCTGGATCCTTGGCCATGAAGCCAGAGCTGTGTTACTTTGAGCCCCCATCTCCTGAGAATAGCCATGCCCGCTCAGGACGCCTGCTGGTAAGGAACGGACCCTCCAGTTGTCACATAAGTGTATCCTTCCTTTCAATGCCACTGTGCAGTTTAAAGGGAATTGTGCAATTTCCTTTTCATCTGTGATTAAGCACTAAGTTCGGGGTATTATAATGTGAAAATACGCAGGGATGAGCCTGACCTGCCCTCATCGCATTTCTTCTTTCTAACTCCCTCCCTTCATTGTTTTAACCTCCGTTAGAACAAGCCTGCCCTCCCTCTGACAAAATGGGGGTCAGATAGGGCCGGCGCTGAATAAAACAAGCAGACTCTGTGTATCGCACAGTGGAAATAACAAGTGTGTCATTTTATGGCGCGTTGCGTGCAGAGCTTCGTATTTACACAATTCGTGCTCCTTTATCTCCTTGGCAGAAAAAAAACAACAACATTGGGGAAATGAAGCCTTTTCCCTGTCGCGTAACAAGCTGGGGGTTATGGGCTTTGCTGAGATCCTAACTCAAAATAGGTATGAGGCTTATTGAAATCATCTTGATTACTTTAATTATGCCCAGCTAGGTGTCAGCATCCAAGTGAGCCTAGGGCAATGATGGTAAACCTTTTTGTTGTGTACCGAAAGCGTGTGCGTGTGCCGGCACCCACAATGCAATGTGCCCTGCCCCCCCTGCACATGTGTGCGCAACACACATATGCACCCCGTTTCCTTACCTGCACTGCGCAGGCAGTGATTTTCCCAGCTGATTTTCAGCCCGTTTGAGGCCTTTTTCGCCATCCCAGAGGCTTGAGGGGAACCTTTGCAGCCTTGGGAGGGCGAAAAATGGCCCTTCCAGAAATACCAGAAGTGCCCGTTTTCAGCCTCCGGAGGGCCTCTAGAGCCTGGGGGAGGCCATTTTCGCTCTCCTGGGAGCTCAGGGGAAGCTTCTGCAGCCTTGGGAGGCTGAAAAACGGGTCTGTTTTGGCACTTCTGGTATTTCCGGAAGGCCTGTTTTTGCCACAAAGTCATCCGAGACCTTGACTGGAAAGAAACTTTATTAACTTGAACAACTATTCTCTTTGAAGCCATGAAAAAAAGGGAGACCCAGAAGTCTCAAAATCTATTGCAGCTTAGTTCGGTGGTATATACAAACACCAGTGAGCATGCTGCCGTGTTATGGGTTCTCAGAAGTGGAGGGTTTAGAAGTGAACATATAATTAGCTTTCTTCTCTTTGCATACAGCAGGTTGATTGGTCTTTGAAAGGTAAAGAAGCCTTAAGACAAATTCTGTTGCCATGCAAATCTTCTCAGCAGCATTGCAGAATTGGTTTATTTTTTTTCTTTAAACTTCCCAGTCTGGCCTACAGCCCTGGAATTCTCCCATGTCAGTACTAAGCTCGGTTGATCCTGCTTAGCTTTGAAGAAGGACTGATCATAAAGTCCACTCACCTTAATTTTTACCTCCATCTTATAGCTGCATAGCATCGGGCAGTTAAGAAATGGTAGAAGTTGCGACCTTAAATTGAGGCCAGGAAAACCAGTACTGTTAGAAGTAGGGCAACTATCCTTGTTGGGTTTTTTTGCATTTCTAAATGAATGGCCCTTGTATTCAAAAATATCGGCAGATAACAAGCAGTGAAAACATTGTGGGGTCCCTGATGCTCTCGAGTTTGAAAGTTCTCTTGCAGACATTTTATTACCAAACTAGGCAATGACATCAGTGCAAAATATTTGCACGCTGTCCTCCTGGGTCCTAGTTCACAGCTACATATAATTTACAGAAGAAGCACTTAAAAGGAAAAGGAAGTGACCGCACCATTTAGTGGTGGCATTCTACTTGAGGGAGAGTTCTTGAAAGCTTGCCCATCATTTGTAGAGTAATAAAATGAGACTAATAAAACTATTGCTATTGTGGGCAATAGGCAAATTTTATAATGAACAGAATATCATGAGTTTTTTCACTGTGAATTAATTTCCCTGCTTTTGAAGTAAGCAGCCTGCATGATTTCTAAATTCACCACTCCAGCAAAGTTGGGGGTAGAGTTTTTCTGCTCTCATCCAGTGCATCATTAAACTCACTACTGGCTACCTAAAGTCACTCTGAAGTTACTCTGTGTAACTTATTGGTTTTTTTATTTTTTATTTTTATTTTTTTTGGGGGGGGGGGAGTCTCCAGGTCATGGTTGTCCCAAAGTTGTTTTTTTCAGGAGGCAACTGGACTTCAGCTCTGGCTGGATGGTGGGGAATGGAAGGATTTATATTCCTTAGGTCATTTGCATCCTTTTAGAGAGAGAATGCAAATTGCCAGCTGTCCTTCAATTCCCCACCATCCAGTCAGAGTTGAAGAAGCTTCCTGGACGAGAAGCAAAAGGTCTTCAAAGAAAAACCCAGAAAGTCCAGTTGCCTCTTGCAAAAGCATCTTTGGTATTCTTCATTTGATGAGCTGTGTGTGTGTGTGTGTGTGTATACATATGTACACACACGTGTATATGTATAATTAAAATGTGTGTAAAGCATATGTGTGTGTATATGTATATATAATTAAAACGTCTGGTATTCAGCTTTGTTGGGGTATTTTCCCACGTCATTATAGTTGTGCTTTTAAAGTTGTAGCAACGTTTCAGCAGAATCTCATCTGCCATCATCAGGCTTCTGTATTGTGTTTGTCTGTGAATCAGGCACAATTCAGAATACAGTACAGACACAATACAGAAGCCTGATGATGGCAGATGAGATTGCTACAAAACATTAAAAGCACAACTATAATGACATGGGAAAATACCTGAACAAAGCTGAATACCATATATATAAATACCTGCATAAACTTAAGAAAACAGTTAGTGTGTGTGTGTGTAATTAAAATGTATGTAAACTAGATATAGATAGATATAGACACACACCCAGAGAGAGAGATACCGAACAGTTGCAAAGAATGAAAATGGTGTTATAAAACGAGAGAAATTGTTTAATAAAAATATTTAACGAATGAGCACCTTTGGGACAACCATGGCCTATTCATCTCCACGGACGGTCCCCGCAAACGGAGCGGCCCCTGCAATGCAAGCCTGCCGCCAAAGCGCTCCAGCGGCGGAGAGGCTCCAGCCGGGGCCCCGGAAACCACCTCCGAGAAGCAGCAGCGGCGCCGGGCGCCTTGGAGAACCGAAGCCGGCAGGGGGAGCTCCCGGGGAAACTTCGGTGGCCGCCTTCCTCCGCCGCCCTTCCCCTTCCGGAGCCAGGCGCGCCAAACCTGGGGCCATGCCGCTGGATCACCGGCGTGTGCCGGGCCCGGAAGAGTCCCAGTCGCCGCTGCTGTACGTGCCCGCCGATCCGGAGGCGAGCGAGGCGGCCGAAGGCAGCCGGGACCCGTCGGCGCTGCAGCCGCTCTTCGCCCGCGTGGGGCTGCTGAGCCAAGCCAAAGGCTCGGCCTACGTGGAGCTGGACGGAGGGACCAAGGTGCTTTGCTCCGTCGCCGGGCCGCGCGAAGCCGGTGGCGGGGGGATCGGCGCTCCCCCGGCCGAGCAGCGGGGCCGGCTGGTGTGCGAGTTCCGCCGGGCGCCTTTCTCCGGCCGCGGCGCCCGCAGCCGGCCGGGCGAGAAGGAACCCGAGTTGGCTTTGGCGCTGCAGGAAGCGCTGGAACCGGCCGTGCGGCTGGCGCGCTACCCGCGGGCGCAGCTGGAGGTGAGCGCGCTGCTCCTGCAAGACGGCGGCTCCGCCTTGGCCGCCGCCCTGTGCGCCGCCGGGCTGGCGCTGGCCGACGCCGGCATCGAGCTCTACGACCTGGTGGCGGCTTGCGCGCTCAGCCGGGCGGCCGGCCCGTCGTCGGGGGCCGAGTGGCGGCTGCAACCCACCGAGCCCGAGGAGCGCGCCGCCGCCGCCCGCCTCACCGTGGCGCTCCTGCCTTCCCTCAACCAAGTGGCCGGCCTGCTGGGCAGCGGCGACGGCGGGCAGGCCGACAGCTGGGCTCAAGCGCTCCGCCTGGGGCTCGACGGCTGCCAGCGCCTTTACCCGCTGCTGCGCCAGAGCCTCTTGCGCGCCGCCAAGCGCCGGGCGCCCGATCCACAGGAGCCCGCGGAGATGGACACGGAGGAGCCGCCGCCGCCTCCTCCCGCGGGGACGGCCTGAAAATCGCCCTCGGGGGCGTTGTTTGTTTTTTCCCCCCACGCGTGGCGGCGTTTTGCTCAGGATCGGGACAGCCGGGGGACAAGGGCGCACGTCGGGACCTCGATGTAGGAAAGCGCCTGAAACATAGACGGATGCGGAGCGAGACACCTGCCTGATCCCCAAATAGGACTTAAATTTGGACACTTTGTGCCCACCACTACCACCACCACCCCCGCTTTGGGGTAACTTTGCTGCAACCTCTCCCTCCCCTTCCAAGAAGTTGTGACTTTTTTTGACTCCCAAGTTTGCACCCTTGTCTTTTTTTTTTTTTTTAGTTGTGTAACTCAAAAAACTCTTCTTGAACCCACAACTGCTGCCCTATTTTAATGTTGAACTTTGTTGGTCCTGCGGAAGCGGCCTCTGACCTGTTTGTTAATGTGGGTCCTTTGGATGAAGACTTGGTTTCACAGGAGTTTCTTGCAAAGTTAGGTTAGGTTGAAGTGATGGCTGAGTTTTCACCAGAAACCACTATCTTGTCTGTCTGTCTGTCTGTCTACCTTATCTATCTATCTGTCTGTCTGTCTATCTATCTATCTATCTATCTATCTATCTATCTATCTATCTATCTACCTACCTATCTTTCTATATCTATCTTTTATTTCTATATCTCTATCTGTATCTATCTCTCTATCCCTATCATCCATCTATCTATCTATCTATCTATCTATCTATCTATCTATCTATCTATCATCTATCTATCTATCTATCTATCTATATCCATCCATCTATCTTTTATCTATATTTATATTCTATATCTTTATATCTCTATATCTCTATCTGTATCTCTGTCTCCATCTCTCTATCCCTATCATCTATCTATCTTAACGATTCAGCTAAAACAAAATAAGGGTAATGTCTTCAGAAGGCCGTGGAGAATCAGGTTATGACCATTAAGCAATATCATGGCTTGTTTTCTTCATTAAGAACCCAGTGTAATCCAGTGGTTAACCATAATTTATCTGGTGCGTTGGACAGATGCAGCCAGTAGCTTGTGTAAATGGATGGTTTTAAAAGTCACATTAATTTTGATACCATTTTTTCCATTTTTTGTGCAAAAATGGGAGGGTGAGGGGAACCACCAGTCTGTTTTGTTTTTCCTGCCTTCTTCTGTCTGGGAAATAAGCCACATTGTTATCTTTTATTTCTTGTGTTTTTTTTATCCTAAATTGACTAAATCCTTGTTAGTACATTTTGTCTCTCCC